GGGAGGAGGCCCCGGGGCAGACCCAGGACACGCTGGAGAGATTATATCTCTCGGCTGGCCTGGGAACGCCTTGGTATTCCCCCGGATAAGCTGGAGGAGGTGGCTGGGGAGAGGGAGGTCTGGGCCTCATTGCTTAGGCTGCTGCCCCCGCGATCCGGCCCCGGACAAAGCGGATGAAGAGGGTTCAAGGTTCAAGGTTCTTTATTTGTCACATGCATAGTTATACAAGTATAACACACAGTGAAATGTAGCCGGATGGATGGATAGTAGTGAAATGGATGGATGGATATATGTTAAAAAACAAAAACGATTTTGAATGTTTTGTAGTTTATTGCACTTTCTTGCAAGTTATGTATTTTCTATGCACTTAATGCATACACATTATTAAAATTTGGGCTATAATGGTTGTATTGATGTATAGCAACTTGAAATGCTCCCAAAAATGGCACTACAGCATGTAAAAATATAATATAAGCTCTGGCGGACTTGGTTCTATGGTAGGTCTTAAAGGGTTAAACATGGGTCATGATGTCATCTCTCTTTGCATGTGGCTTCTTCATGTTTGTAAACATAATATATTAAAAAAGAAATTCTATATAATAATGTACAACACAATCTTATAATAGGTTGAGAGTATGTCTGTGCTGTCAGGCCCTGCGTATGTGCTTTAGTAATTAACCAGTGGACAGGTACATTTATACATAAAATATTACAACATATGTGTATAGTGTATTTCTTATGTATATTTTTGATCTGGGGGTAGAACTGCTTGTGGGGTTTTTATTTAGAAATAAGCAGAATGTGCCATCTCCCTCGCTGGCTCCATGTGTCACGATACTGGGTTTTGAGTTCCTTATGTTTTGGTTTATTTTTGTGTGATGGATTGTTCTTTATGTTTCTCTGGTGCTTTTTTGATTTTTATTATGAATCTGTGTTTCAGTTATTCTGGTATGTTTCTGCATTATGATTAAGGTTCAGGTTGCATTTGGTTATTGTTGCCGGTTTAGTTCAGCGTCTTGTCTGTCTCACTCTGTCGAGTCTGTGTCCTAGTAAAGTGTGTCTTGTTTCCTGTTTTACTCTGAAGGTTCATGTTCCTGTCTTATGTCAGTGTTTCTAGCTTTGTTCCCCCCTGTCTCATTAGGTCTTATTCCTCCCAGCTGTGTTCCCCTTCTGTCTCTAATTCCTTAATGACTTCCTCAGTGTATTTAAGCCCAGTGTTTCTTCGTGTCAGTGTTG